CTCGATTGAGAGAGGATACCCTCGTGTAATCAAAGAAACTTCACAAAACACGAACATGCCGACACGTTGTCACGCTGAGACGCAGATATCGGGTCATGCTGTCGGGCTCACTTGCTGGCGGGCTCCAAAGGCAGGACTGGAGGTTTCCTACTTATTGTTTGTTGCGGTGTTCTCACGCTTGCAGCGTGCACATATGTGGGCACATGTGCTACACTGCCGTGTTAATGTGATTGCATGGTGCGGTTCACACGTTTGAAGGCAGCCGTGTCTACCAACACACACACACACACCACTTGTTGATAACCTTGCAAACGTCGCAAATTGATTGACGACGCGTGCCAAAAGCTGCCATGGCTTGGTCAGAAAATTCATGCCCAGTTGTTGGGGATGTTCTTTTTTTCAGTGCAAAGTGGCAACGCACTGCCCATAAAAACCAGGCGGCCTAGCGCCCATGGCCATGCTGAAATCCTCTCATCCTGATCCGTTTTTGTGGTTCCAGGTTTGGCACTGCCATTGCGCACAAACGTATCCCTGGCTGGCCAGCCGGCGGGATGCATGAGCATGGCTGGTAGCCTGCACTGTTTCACCTGGCAACAGAGAGCGCGCGGCGTCACGGTGGTGAATTCTGAAGATCAACTTTCAATCTTTTTCAACTGTTTGCATTGCAACTGGTTGCAGTTGTTTCTCTTCACCAGCGCAATCTCGCCAAGAAAGGCCCATGTGGGTAGGTCCTTTGTACAGTGCGAAATCTTTAGCAGGGATCCCAACATTGTTTTGTTGAAGCCTCCCTCCAAACTCAAGAAGTTGCACGTGCAGCCTATGTTTGATGAGCATTGCAGAAGGAAGAAACACGTGTCCAAGTTGAGTATCAAATATATAATTCATCCTGAACAGTTTTCTTGCCTTCAGCCATGTGACATTGCCAGCATGCAATTTCCTTATTAAACAACCAAGGATGCTTTCACACCCACAGAAAGCTACAGAGAGCCCACCGCCTGAGAAAACGACAAGAGCAAAAAAACGATAACGTGACGGCGGGACATGGCAATTGATACCCCACATTGGACTGAGAGGTGTCAGTCCGCATGGAAGCCTTTTCATCCTATATCGATGGTGAATAACTTACAATGCCGACAATGCCTGAATATTCGTAGCATGATCATGGCATTTGCGCCTCTCACTCCCTGCAATAACCATGGACCATGTATAATTATTCACCTTGGCTGGCCTTTTTATTTCGACCATCCAAGTTGAGACCCTATCACGAAGCCTATTTGAGGTTATCTAAGAGGCTACTGTATGTCTACTTATGAAAACTGGAGCTGTTGGGATCTCGGTGGAGAATTTCGCTGTCTCACACTGCTTTGGTAGTTTGCCAAGGAAAATCCAAGGTCCTTTTGACGCTTCATGGTGGAACTGCGCAGCCTTACTCTTTAAGGCTATTTGTGTTCTCCGCAGTTTAGATATACACAAGAAATCACAAGAATTTGTATCTTTGTTTCTTTCGCTCACTCTCAAGAACCAAACGGGCTGGGCTGGTTGGTGCAGCTAGATCTGCACCATGGTCTGAAGCTTAGCATGACGTAATGATCTATATAATCAGTTTCCATACTGTGTGCAACCACATAGCGAATCTAAAGACAGCACTCTCAAAGTGGACATGAAGAAGCAAATGCATTCTCGAAATTGTCAGATGTCATTTTGACCCATGTTGACAACTGGCCCATGTCCATGTGAGGCAGCAAACCAGACTTTGCCGGGCTCCAAGCAGATCCTGGAAACGGTTTCTGACAGGTAGGATGTTTATCTCTATGTAGTTTAAATGCCACGAGTTTGATCTGCAACAGAGTTGAGCGGGATTGCATTCCAGAGAGGCCAGCGCTTGAGGTATGTAAACAACCTCAACGACAAGATCAATGTCGAGACTCTCAAGAAATCTTTGCGGGAGGCGTGAGATTGGCCCCAGAGTCGAGTTTCCTTTGCAGCGCTGATGAGCTGGCGTTGACGGTTCACCTAGCTTTTTCGGGAGATAGTTGGACTGGTCTGGTAACCTACGATGCACTAACTGTAACTAGAAGCACGGGAGTTGTCCAGCACGTCCTTGCTTGGCAGATTAGGCAGTATTCTGACAAGGACTTGTTGGGTCCAACGATAGTCAATACAACTTGGCCCAGACTCTCTAAAGAGGGATCGAATTTGAATTTGATAGTGAACTCTTCACCGGCACGATCAACTTGAGAAACAACTTGGCTGCGACATCCATGCGACGAGGTTTTTGCAGCCTTCGGTGGCATCATCGACATTATCGCCATGAAGTCGTTGAAGCGAAGAGGGCAGGCATTGGGCAATGAAGTCTTCATTCGAGGAATGATAAACGCGTCTGCATTTGATTCCCACATATTCTTGCTTGGACAAAACACGTCACAAGACTATAATATGGAATATGGATCGCCTGTGTCTTTCCAGGCTTGGATCATCTTCAAGGAGGCTCGTGCATCTCACTTGAGGGCCTTGCTCATTGAATTTGTATGGATTTGGCATGTTGTATGACCATCTGCATCATTTCATAGGCTTCATGCGTGCTTGATTCGTTGATAGTCAGGATCCTGGTTCCCAACCCTTAGCACTGTGCAGGTCGCAGCTGCGACAAATTCTTTGAAGTCTTTGCAGGGCTTCCCCTTCTACAACAAGCCAATGCGCAAGACTCTTGGTTTGTAGCCCTTCCCCTTCACAGCTGCACAGCAAACCGCTTGCAACAAGGATGTTTCTCCGAGATTCAGCTAAAAATATAAATCTTCAGCAATATAACTGTAGTAGCAAAGCTCACCACAAGATGAAGTCCTGACTGACAACCCATCAAGGATACATGAATAGCTACTGGTTCTTCAAAACCAGAAGCAGAGAGGCAAACACCGAGTACAAGCAAAATACTCCGCGGAAGCCCGACGGTCCGACTTAAGATATTACTCTTTTGGGTTGCCGCCATCGTCTACCTTTGACCGAGGCATCGCATATGCAAAGACAAAGTCAGACGTAGTGGCCAAGGCTGGTTTGGACGGTCATGGGGCCTTATACAACGGTGCATGGTGCGTAGCCCAGCTGAAGAGGCTTAAGGCAAGTTTCTACTCATCAATTTTGGGAGAGGTACAGCACATCCTTGCGTCCAATCAAGACGATAGGCTTTGACCCTCTCGCCAAAAGGATTAAACGTGGACAATTGATACATTTTGTTGTTGAGATCGGCAAGAGCTCCATTCAGGTTTACAAGACTGCAAGGACTCTCTCGGTGGTTTTCATGAGTTGCTTTTGGTTCTGTGACAGAATCATGGTCTGAGGATTCTGTTGGAGAGGATCATGTACTTACCCGTTGCAGAGATTCAAAAGCAATGTATGTTGAACACATGCACACTTGCGTTGCAGCCCTACAGGCTGATGGAACATACGTGGAGCGACCAAAAAAGATCGTGAAGCGTGAGGCACATGGAAGACTTTCTTTGTCTTTTTGCCTCCTGTTTGTGTTTTGAGTTTGCCAACTGTCTTAAGAGTCTTTTGCAGTTTGTTTTTTCCATCACTGGCAATTTGATTGGATCGTGAATTCGACTGGCATTCTGAGACCAAATAGGAGGGCATGTGTGAAGATCAAGAAGGGTGAGCTTTGGGAAATCTGTTTGACATCTTGAGAAAAACGACTTTCACCATAGTCTTTTCAGTCTCTGGCCTCAAGGACCTGAGGAAAAAGGCCACCACTACCCATGCGCCCCTCGGTGGAAGAGCAACACTTCATTTCCTCTGTGGTTTTGTCAGAGCATTGTACTTCGCTGTGCTTACAGATTCAGCAGCAGCATTAAGTGGATTACAGTTGCTGGTCTTCAAAGGCTATGCTCAGCGTTGGGGCCAACAAGCAGTTTTTGTGCACCCCTATAAAGGTCTTCACACCGTAACACAACAAAAGCACATCTTCAGAGCTGGCCTTTTGAGCTGTTTGACAAAGAGTTTGTCTCGCTTCAATTGTAGATAGTAGTTGGTCTATGAAGGGAGTCTTCAGATGAGTGTTCGATAGTCGATTATCTTCGTATTCCCTGAGCTTGGCTCCCGGGAGCAGAGGCCACCTGAGACCAGGACTGTGCAAAGCTTAGCTCGAGTAGCTTAAGTTGCCTCACAAAGTCGATTTCCTTCCTTTCCAGAAGTACTTGCGGAACCTAGTAACAAGTGCATCTCTACTAGGAACAAGAAGCTACTAGTAGAAGTGTTCGGCCGTGAAGGCCGGCCACGGCCGTGAAGGTACCTAGCAAGTAACTAGTAGCAGCAAAAAAGCTACTATCTGCTGATCTAAGAACCCTTTGCATGATTGACGACTCGGTTCCTTCATTTTTAGGGAACTTCACCTTGAAGCAAGACTTGATAATTTATTTCACACCCAACGCTTGGATGTCTTAAGTGATGATTTGCAAATAGTAGCAGCGAGCTGGTTTCGAGACTAAACTGATCCTGATCGAAGTGATGTGAGCCGAGGTGTCAACGCCCGCTGCTCCAGCGGCATCACAGAAAAGTATTCAGGACAGGTTGATGTGGAAGCAACCCATGGGGGTAGTTACCAACTAGGAGCAAGGGCATCGCTACTAGGGGCTCCTGGCCGTACTACTAGGAACAAGAAGCTACTAGGGGCTCCTGGGATTGCTACTAGGAGGATGCTACTAGTACGTAGGAGTCTCACTCTCACCAGCTGGCACTGAATACCACGTTACTCGCTGCCGAAGATGTGAAAGAACTGTCGGCCGTCAACTGCGGAGGGCATTTGGCTCTTGGAGTCATAAGTTGCAATTTCACAGGCAGAGATCACCTCTGCTTCAACAATTTCCAGAGCTTCGAACAAGGATACCAGATGTTGCCAAGTATTGTACTGTACCATATTTTGCCTCTACCACTATGCATGGCTTTTGTCACGACAGCTTTGAGTGGCGATTGCAAAGTTGACATAAGCCATGCGCCTGTTCAAGCCTTTACCTTTAACAGCTTTCAGCAAGAAATTGGGCCCAATGGCAATGGCGGTATTGCGGCCTCCGGAATGAGAAGTGAGTGAGCGAAAGGCCCAGCAGCATTGAAACTGTGCAACGCTTGAAAGATGTTTGCATGAGAGCTTAGCAGCTTGCAACGGGACCCACTCCACTACTGCTCAAATGTGATGAGCTTGCAAGCAGAATCTGGCTGGGACATGCTGTGACAACTCACATCTCGTTTTGATTTCCCCAGGTCCTTCCATGAAACTTCGCAGGGTAGCCCAGGCATGCCCAGACTTGTTTGCCGCATGATGTTCCAACCCTGGACTGATTTGTCCTACACAACAATACGCTTGACGCTTGTCCTTCCTACAGTAATCTAATATTGGACTTGGCCATGCTTGCAATACAGGTTCAGGAGCTGTAGATTGTAGATGAATCATACCTCCACAAAATCACTTCTGTCTCCGTGGAGAAGCGACAGACAGGGGATGGCCTTTTGTTGAAGGAGCGTTCTGAAAATCTGCAGTTTGGTGCCAAAGAATGTTGGGATCTCTTCGGGCAAGGCCACGATTTCAATGTAATGTAGGGAGCACAGAATCCGAACATAGATGCCAAAACGGAAGGTAGCAAATGTGAGCATCGTTCGGAACATCAAAGAAGATCGAGCGGACGTGCGAGACCTTGAGATGCCAAGGTTTGAAGCATAAAGGAGGCCCACCAGAGAGGCCAAACTCGACTAACGCGTCACTTTGATTGCTTGACATAGCTTTGACGGCTGTTGCTTCGTCATTTCATGTCAGTGTTCATTGTCGTGTTGCATGTTATTTTATTTGTCTCTTCAACCGTGACTTTTGATCCGACAGACTAATCATAGACTTTGAAGTAGTGTGCTTCTTTTTGGACAACACTTCAATGTGGCACCACTGAGGCAAGAGAAAAGCAAAGATGATCAGAGACGGCAGGTGCAAAGCAAAATTCAGAACCAGCTCGTAGGATTTTTCCTTGGCTGTACTGGAACACTTTCCTTTTTCTAGTGTCCGTAGGGATTGCAAGCTGTTTGGTTATTATTGGCAATGTCTGACTGGCTGCAACAGGCTGTGGTCCAGGGCTTTGACAAGAAGTCAGGGCTTGGCAAGCGCCTCGCCGAAGGGCCAGCGGCTCAAACTTATATTGCATTGATGAAGCCTTGGCCGCGGCCTGTGAACTTAACCTGTTAATCATGATTGCATCCGGGACAAAGTCATAAACAGATCTCAAAGCTTCACAACTATGGCAATATTGGCAATACCATGGGGCAGGGACTTTGTGGATTTTGCTGGAGGTTGGAGCGTGGCATGCTGAAAGTTGCCTGCCCGCGAGGCCTGCAATTCCAAAGCAGAAGGGATCAGAAAGAAACATTACAGTATATAGATTTGTTGAATCGAAGTTCCATTCTTCGTCCAAGAACGCTGTTCATTCCTTCTCAGTGCCAAGTGCTTACAGTATGCAGAGGTTGGAAGGCGCTGACGTGCTGAAGAACTTTTCACGAGCTTTAATTGGTAGTGCCACTCAAGTGTTGCTCGAGCACTGCAGTCTGGCACTCCCAGGTGAAGCTCTCACGGAAGGCAGCGAGCAGTACAAGGTCAGGCACTATGGCTCCTACAGAACATGTTTAAGGACACTAGAGGACAATGCATTGCATTTCTGTGATTCTGACATTGCAGCGCGCCCATTTTTCTGGTCACGTGTTTCTTCATGCGGCAACAGCACCATGGTGAGGCCTACAAGTTTCAATACAAGAGGTTGTGCCAAGCCCCGAGACCGTGAGTTGGTGCAGCACTGGATATGTTGGAGATTTATATAGTTTTGATCGGCAAAACGAAGGGATCACTTCGATCACCGCTTTTCTTGTTTTCGGCATTTTTTCAACCAACGATCTGGAATTGAAGGTACCCACCTGCGGCGCAACAACATATTGTCGGAGAAGCTGAAAAGCGGGGAGCTGGACGCGGAAGAGTTGGCCTCTATGGGTGACGAGGCAGGGAGCCAGTTTTCTGCGTGATATTGGTGAGTTTTCAGAAGGATTCTTGCTAGTAGAAGAACACGGAGTGTTCAACGATTGTCACAGTGGCAGGTGCAGAAAATTGCAGTGCATTCACAGAGCATTCGATCTTGGAGCTTGTGATGCTACTTTCGACGGCCCATTGCTTGTCAGATGTTTCATGCGCAGCTGCGAAACCATTGACCTTCGAAACCGGCAAGGGCAGGGCCACGCAAGGTTAAGGAAATGTGTTTCATGCAACCTTCCAAATACCCAACTGACTGCAGGCGCTTATGGCCGAGTCCCAAAGAAACGAGCTCCAGCAGTTCCGGCAGGAGCAGTGGATTAGTGGGTATGGGTGGAGCCAGTCAATCCTGTATGTAATACAGAATGACGATTGTTTTTCTTTTCCACTGTGGTCAGGCCGACAAGCTTTGGGGAGCCCAATCTAATAGGGATGGCCTCCCAACCTAGAAACGATGGCCAGGGAACATTCATAAGGCCAATTTGCCTCAGTCGGTGTGATAGTGGATGTGTCAAGCCTCAACCTCTTTCAGAGAAGTCTGGTGCTTTGTGTGGTCCATTCATGACCGCTTTCCTGCTCAAGTGCACCTTGGTTTTCCTTTCTTGTGCTACTTATGCGAATCTGTTTGGCAGACTCTTGGACACCTCCAGTGACTCCTGGTTGAGGAAAGTCTCCAAGAAGCCTTGGGAATCACGGCAGAAGACTCTGTCCAGTGCTGAGTCAGCTTTGTCTCGCTTTTCTCGCAATCAACTGTGTGGAAATGCATAGCATTCAGAGCATGCTCATGACCCAGGGTCCTGAACCCCTTTCTCGCTGGCCACCATTTGGCCCAACCTTCACGTGCCTTACGAGGCGCCTTGAGCCCCCTTTCGTTCATGGCGAGGAAAACGGCCGATCTTCGTGCGGCTCAACAGTGGTAGCGGAGCCCCGGTGACGACTGGGGCTCCCGCGAGGACGTGTTTGAGTTGGTCTCGGGGGGGGACGCCCCCCGGCTGCTCGACGCTTTGTTTGGACCGCGTTCTCGCGGTAGTTCTACCCAGGGATTTTGGGGAAGTTACTATTTCTTGGAGCCCTTCGATTACCAGGTTGCGCTGGGAAGTTTGTTCCTTGTTTTCGGCCATTGGCCTTTGGTGGAATGCCACCGCCAGCTAGGACTTGGCGTGGGACTGGAGCCACTTCATCGATGAACCCATCCGGTACATCCCCCACTCCGCCGACGGCTACACCCATGCCTCCGCATAGTCCCCAACGACCTTTGGGAGAATCTCAACCCGTTGACCCGGGACTCCATGATGAGCCAGAAGATCCATGGAGCAGAGCTCTCACTGGTCCGCCTAGGCTGGCTACTACACCGCCTCGTATGCCTTCGCATCCTGCCACTCCGAAGTCCGGCAATGAAGGCCGGGAGCCCAAGAAACATGTGGACTATCGCCTTGACCCTGCTCCAAGTTGGGGCGGCGAAATGCCAGAGAAGCAGTTCCGCGAGTACCAGAGAAATTTGCAGTTGTGGCTGGTGGAGGCGGAGGCGAGGTTGCCTTTGAATTTGATTGGCAAGCGCATCATTGATGCCATCCCTTTGGGCTCACGACTGAGCTCCTTGGTTGCCCACCTGACGGTGGAAGAGATTTGCTCGGACACCGGGCACAAGACGATCGTTCAGATCATCGAGGACGCCCATGAGTACCTCAAGGACCAGCGTTTGGAGCAGGCCTTTGACGAGGCCATCTTTCGAGGCCGCCGGGACAAAGGAATGTCCCTGACCACCTTCCTGACGAACAAGAAGGCGGCATTTGCAGAGTTGAGAAAACAAGGCCTCGACCTTTTGGCGACGCCAGCTGGTAGACACCTCCTTGGCCATCTGATCCTTCGCCAAGGGTCATTCAGCCAAGATCAACGGCAGAGGTTGAAGGTCGTGACCAATGGATCGATCGACTTTCGGGAGATCGAGATGGCTGTCCAGAAGGTCTTTGGTGACCGACTTGACGAACTCTCCCAAGACCATGGAGCGCCTCATCGACGATGGCGAAGTGCCACTTACTGGGGCGACAATGAAGATGGAGAGATTGAAGATGAGGACTGGGACTATGACGTCTTCGAGTCTGAGCTGATGGACCCCTTCGAGGACCTGATTTGCATGAATGAGAACGAAGAAGCGCAAATGGTCTTCCAAGATGAATTGCCCGTCATCATGGATGAGGCTGATGCTCTGGAAGCGGTTTCCAACCAGATCGAGGAGATCTACTACGAGACACAGAACCGCATGCAGAGCAAAGGAAAAGGCTTCAAGGGCAAAGGAAAGAAGGGAAAGAGCAAGAGTCCCACACGGACCTACGGCCAGGGTGCACCGAGTTTTGGCTCTGGCAAGGGCGGCGGCTACCTTGAGCATAGACGCCTTTTGCAAGCTAGCCGCAACGGTCGTGGATACGACCGACCATGGACAAGAACCGGATCCCGCATGAGCCTGAATGACTTGAAGGCCAAAACCCGCTGCCACACTTGCAAGCAGGTTGGCCATTGGAGCAAAGAATGCCCACACCGGGCCAAGACCACTTCACCGACTTCGAGAAGTTCAAGTTCCACGGGCGCCATGAGCACCGGCATGAGTACCGGCTTTTTCATTCAGCCACCTGCTAAACTGGCAGGGGCCTTTCTCACGACTACCAATGAGCTTGAAACCAAGAGCGAATACATTGCAGCTGAGTTCACCGGCTTGAGCTTTGTTTTTCTAGCGGTTCATGAAGATCAGGGCACCGCTCTGGTTGATACAGCTGCCCAACATGGATTGGTTGGTCGTGAAACATTGGAGCAACATGACACCCTCCTACAAGAAAGATTTGGTTTGCGCGTTCAATGGTCTCATGAAGCCGGAGGTAGTGTTCGTGGTGTTTGCGGGAAGGAGGAAAGCACATCCATTGCCTATGTGCCAATCGGTCTCGGGGGCAAGTCAGGTGTACTTCGTGTTCAGGTGGTCCCCGGAACAATACCTTTCCTCATTCCTGCCTACTTCCTCTCGAACGTCGGAGCCGTCATTGACATGGAGCATGCTGTGATTTGGTACACAAAGTTAGCAACAAGTCAAAACATGAGAAGGTTGTCATCAGGCCACGTCTCGGTTTCTATCATTGATTTTGGCAAGAATGGTTTCAATGCGCCTTCGAATTTTGCAGCAAGTTCCAGCCAAGCTTGGTCGGTCGAGCCCATTCCCGACTGGGCTACGCTGGATGCCCTGTCGCACTATCCAGCAGCTATGGTGCCGCTGGCGGCGCTTGTTGCTGCGCTTTCTACTATCGGCCTCCCTTCAAGCTTGGCAAGTGCTCCAGGAAGCTGTGCGAACACCCCAACTTCGAGAAGTCCGCTGGCTACAACAGCGACGAGAGCATTTGGAGCAACAAGCCTTCCAATTGGCCCAGGAGGAACAGCGAGTTCTAGCCGAAGCTCACGTCACGACACCATCGGCTTTGACTGGATCCCTGGCAATGGCACGACGGGAGGAGAGAGTCCGACCACTGGCAATGGTGAAAGGAAAGGGCAGATTCCTGGTCCCTGCCTTGGAACCTTCACCGGGTTGCACTCACCCGGAAGTAGAAGTGAAGCATGGAGCCAATCGAGTTCTCTCATGGCAGGAGTGCAATCAGTGCCAGCAGAAGCAGATCATGCCATTGACCCTGATCACCGAACTGCACAACTGGAACCAGAACCTGGTCTACATCCCGGACGTCTTCTACGACATCAGGAAGAAGTCCACCAAGAGCAAGAAAGGTTCGAGCGATGCCTCCAGCAGTGTGACGGTCCAGTCACCGAGTTCGATCTCATCCACCAGTTCCTTGTTGATGACCACTCCAAAGAGCTCATCCAGAGCCATGGCCTACAAGTCCAAGGCACGACCACCGATGGTCAAGCAGGAGATCAAGCAGGACCTGGACGAGATCAGGGAGGACCAGAATTCATGGTGCGATGTGGTGGCGGACGACCTGCTGAAGATGGGCCAGACTGCAGCGATGATCGGCGACCAGGATGTGGCGATGGTGGAGATTCAACGGCAAGCACATTCTCAGTCTTGCGACGTGTGCCACACGGGCATGGTCACGCTCTGTCGCCATGTCCCCTCGATGAACCTCCTTTGGAAGTGCGACAACATGAGATGCGACCACCACTGGGGCGACTTGAACGACCACGTTCAACCAGCGTATGGCGCGATGATTTGTCCTCGATGCAACAGCAAGGAGATGTTGGTGATCAAAGACTCTCCCAACCCCGAGGACGTGGAGATCCAGTGCATGGAGGAGCAGTGTGGCCTGGCAGCATTCCTCTTCGAGATGCCAGTAGCCTATGCCAAGATGGGACGATTCAACATCAACCTCCTGCACAACGATTAGCTGGTTGGATGTCACAGATGACGTCGTTGCACGATGACAGTCGCTTCCAGAAGGTGATGTCCACTTTGGACTTGGATCAAGCGGCAACCTATGTAACCACATTTCGTGGTGAATGTGTCCGCGGAGTTTCGCCTGTCATCACCAGAGCCTTCCTTAGCCGAAAGGTCATTTTGACCAAGTGCGATGATCACTGGAACGCAGTGCATGTGTCCCAGGTGCCTGGTGAAGACTACAATCTTGGAATGGAAACTCCATGTTTGATCCTCTATGAGTTCATGCCTGAATTCTTGGAGTACCTGACCGACTCCGAGCTCTATGAGAATGAGACCACCTTGGCAAAGTCGACAAAGGGCGAGATTATGAGAAGTCTGGATGACTTACTTGGAGGCCAGGAAGCCTATTGGACCCTTTGGGAAAAGCAACTCGATGAACCAGACGACATTGCCGAGATCTATGGTGGCCTCTCTGAAGAGAATGACTCCGTCGTCGAGCTCTACAGTCCTCCACGACTTGTGGAAGAAGCCCAAAAGAGAGGTCTGAAAGCTAGCCTGTCCATCGACCTCGTCACTGGGTATGACATGAACCAGAAGGACCAACAAGAATGGGTTCGACAGGAGCTGAGGCGGCGGAGACCGCGATTGTTGACCACGACCCCTCCTTGCACGAAGTTCTCACCGCTCCAGAACATTCGACCACATCCAGAACGGTTGATGGAGGAGCTACCTGAGGCAAAGCGACACCTCAACTTTTCGATGGACATGCAGGAGGAGCAGCTGTCACGTGGAGGAGATGGACTCCATGAACACCCAGACACGGCCACTTCGTGGTTGTTGCCCAAGGTCCAAAACTACCTGCAGCACGAACAGGTGATCCTCGTGAAGAGCCATCTTTGCAGATTTGGACTCAAAGTTGGAGAAGGTGGCTTGAATCGCAAAGCAACACTCTTTGCCACGACCAATGATGAGATTGCCATCAACCTCCAGCGACTATGCAACTGCCAGCAACCTCATGAGTCCTTGATCGGTGGACTACCACATCGTGCTCAAGAATACCCTCCAGCCTTGGTGCGAGCAATCATTGATGGTTTGGTTCAGAGCTGGGTGAACACACAGAAAGGACGACCCAAACGACTCCCTGACACAGGTGACTTGAACCAGTGGGTCGATGAACTCCGTCCACGAGAATGGCAGCAGTGGCGATCTTTCAATGACGATGCCATTCTGGTGCTCCGTAAGCCCCTACAACATCAAGTTCCATTACAAGGACCTGATCACCGATGTCTCCGGTGGACTTGGGTGAAAGGAGTGCTGGATGGCAAGTGGATTCAATTCGAACAGGGCAGCTCTGGGAAGATTTCTCCATTTGAGGTCTCCTACCCCTTTGTGGTGATCCTTTACACTCATCCCGAGCTGACCTGGAGCTTTGCTGAGTCTTCCGACCTGACGGCCGCCGAGAAGCAGATGATCCTCCGAGCCCACGTCAATTTGGGACACCCTGGAGTTAAAGAATTTGTGAGACTTCTCAAGGCAGCCGGCAGCAGAAATGATGTGGTGCAGTATGTGCTCAAGGAGTTCACTTGCGAGGGATGCCTCAAAGAGAAACGACAGCCCACCAGACTTCCTGCATCAACGCCCCGCACCTATGACTTCAATGTGGTGCTGGGAATTGATTTGTTGTTTGCGCATGGCATCAGTCACACCACCGAGCATCCAATCTTGAACGTCACATGCCTTGGAACTTTGTATTCCACTTTCAGCATGGTGCATCCTACTCGGAGAGGCTCAGAGTTGGTGTGGAGCAAGTTTCTCTCCGTATGGCTTCGAACATTTGGTGCACCATCCTTTGCGCTGATGGATCAAGGTTTGGAGTTCCAAGGGCACTTCATCTCCATGCTCGAGTCACATGGCATCCAGCCATTGCTGATTGACAGGGATGCTCCATATCAGAATGGGGTGACTGAGAGAAGAGGTGGCCTGTTCAAAGAGGTGTACTACCGCACCCGTGAGCTCAAGCAACCTGCCACGATTGAAGAAGTTCAAGATTTGGTTCATGAGGTCTCTTGGGCACTTCAAACTATGACGAACAGATCTGGCTACTCACCAGCTCAGAGAGTCTTTGGCAAGCAACCTAGCCTTGGCCTCGACCTCCTCAGTGACGCCCGACAGTTTGAGTACAGCATGACCACCGATGACGCCTGGTCCCGCTCTGAGGAGATCCGCAAGGCAGCTCGTCAAGCCTTGATGGACGTTGATGCCAAAGAACGAGTTCAAAGAGCCATCAGAGCCAGACCCAGGAGAGCTCGAGAAGACCACCACTTCAAGGAAGGTGACCCCGTCTCCGTTTGGCGACAAGGTCGACGTGGCAATGTGGCAAAGGTTGGTCCGTGCTTCGTTGTGTTGCAGCGCGGCGATACTGTATGGGTGACCCGCCGTGGAGAGCTCTGGAAATGCAACAAGAGTCAGGTGTTTGAGATGGGATGCCTCGAAAAGCAAGGGCTTGAAGTCATTGAGGCCGACCTCCTGAAGGCCAAGGAAAGACTAAGGTTCCATCCCGAGAAACTTGGCTACACGGACGTCACCAAGGAGGGCGACCCACCAGATGATCTGGAGATCATCGAACAAGCCCCGAGGCAGGCTCCACCGACTCCAGCAGCAGCTGAAGCAGCGCGGCAGGCAACACGCCACACTGCACGGCAACAAGCACTTGACCCACACACCGTGTATCGCAAGGTCCCAGGAACACCTCGAGGACCCCCCGAAGGATTGAGAACACCCAATCCTTCGACACCTGCACCCGGCGCACCAGGAACACTTGCTCCTGGTACACCAGCACGGCAGAGCAAGCAACCAGCAACACCAGTTGCTACACAACGCAGGGACCGCACACGATCACCTGCGAAGGCAGCACCTGCACGTGTTGTCATCGATGAAGTGATTGACTCAAGCAAGGCAAAACCTCAAGAATCACAACCTGTGGCATCAGCAAGCAAGCAAGCATCAGCAGTCACACCAGCAGCAGCAGACCAACCACAGTCGGCAGCTGCAGAAGAAGAAGGAAATGACGCAGATGAACTCTGGAAGGCCTCCCTGGAAAACAGAAAGGCACATCAAGATGTCCCTGAGCCTTCAAGTGGCCATCCAGAAGTTCTCAAGATGTGGAAGCGCCATGACTTCAGTGCCAAGCGCTACCGTGGCTCAAACAGCAAGGGCCCACTCTGGACTGATGTGGTTCGAAGAGTCACCTATGACATAGACACGAACCGAAAGATCCAAGACATCGCCATCACTCCAGAGATGCCCATTCACCGAGCACATGACAAGCTGCCTGAAGGGGTGATCAACATCCTCACTGTCCTGGTGTACAAGGCCATTCCAGAACACCCAGATCCAGGTGAGGACTACAAGGAACCTCTTTATGGCCCAAATGAAGTTGTTGATCCACCTGAGGCACCAGAAGAAGATGCGCGGCTGGTGGACACGGGCATGAAGCGCAGCTTGGAAGGAGCAGCCACTGATCAGCGGGCACCTCAGCGCTCTCGCATCTTTGGTCAATGGCGTGCAGACGATCTCACAGAGCGGGGCAGCAAAGCTATGTTTCCAGTGGTTGCCAACCAACGTGACCTCCAGGTCTTTCACAAGGTGATGAAGAATGACACCTACTACAACCACTACCTCCAAGAAGAGAGCTCGCTGTCCTATCTCACCAAACAGAGTGGCAAAGAGCTGAATGAAAAGAAGTTGAATGATGATGAAAAGAAGCTCTTCGCTGAAGCTAAGACCAAGGAGATCGACAACCTGATTGGCTCCAACGCCATCGAGATGATCACTGATCAAGAACAGATCCGGTGGGTGCATGACAAATACAGCCACCGGATCATGCCCAGCCGGTTCATCGTAACAAAGAAGACCGGCGAGGTTGGCGAGCAATGGAAAGCCAAAGCACGCTGGATCCTGCTAGGGCATAGAGACCCCGACAGCCTCCAGTTGGAGCGATTTGCACCGACACCTTCAAGCACCACCGTGATGCTGGCACTTCAGATTCTGTCATCCCTGCAGTTCCACCTCTTCATTATGGATGTCAGCTCAGCTTTTGGTCAGAGTGATCCAGTTGAACGTGAACAAGGACCACTATATGCTTCCATGCCTCCAAGTGGCATCCCAGGCTATGGTCAACAGACCATTATTCGAGTGCTCACTGCAGTCTACGGCCTGGTGAATGCTCCAGCAGTCTGGCGACGCACGGTCAGGCGAAAGCTGTTGACTTTGTGCTATGAGGAGAGTGTTTTCGATCCATGTCTTTACTACCTCAAGCCCACGGAGGAGGAAATGGCTGGCAAGAAGCTGTCTGTGGCTGGCATTGTGTTGTTAGATGTTGATGATTTCTGCCAGGGTGGCAACGCTCGTCATCAAGAGCTCATGAACCCGCTTCGCACGCAGCTCAAGTTCGGCAAATGGAAGGATGTCTTCGACAGCTCAGCCGACCTTCGAGATTCAGGTGAGCATGAAAAGATACATCCAGGAGAAGCTCCGTCCTGTGACCCTCACCAAGGAGCGCATGAAGCAGAAGCAGGAGCTCCTGGACGAAAAGGAGATTTCATGGCTCCGTGGAGTTGGTGGCTCACTTTTGTGGGTCGGAAAGGAGGGCCGGCCAGATGTCGGCGCCGCATGCGCTATGTCCATGTCCTGGCCTTCGACAGGACCAACGGTGGAGCACATCCTGATGGCTAACAAGACAGTTGCAGAGCTGAAGCAAACGATGGACGCCATCATCAGGATCATGCCGATTCCTGCGGAAGAGAGCATCTGGATGACGGTTGCGGATGCTTCCATGGCAAACGTCGAGAACAAGTCGCAGGGTGGCTTTGTGTTGGCGCTCGCTCACGAGAGCATCATGAAGGGCCAGGCCGCTGATTTCAGCTTGAACTCCTGGCGAAGCCACAAGTTGAAGAAGGCGACGCTGGGGTCAGAGGCCTTGGCAATGGATGATGCGCTGGCTGAAGTGGAGTGGACTCGTGCACTTTGGCACGAACTGCTTGACCCCAGCAGCTGTGTGCTGGACGGCTCGCGGCTCGGAGACACAGAGTCAGCGATGGTGGTGAGGCTCCCCGAGCACAACGAGGACTTTGAGATCGCCTCGATCCGGGTCAAGGACGATGGCACTGGAGCTCACGTGACTGATGCCAAAGCTTTGTTTGATTTGCTCAGCAGGCGGTCAGGAAATGCTGGCCAATGCCGCAGAGCGCAGATCGATGTCGCTGTGATCTGCATCTCAGCCCGACTTTTGAAGGTCAAAACATACTGGGTGCCAGGATCCCAGATGTTGGCCGATCCGCTTACGAAAAGATGCGGAAATAGCATGCTGATGAGGCAGGTGATGAAATCTGCACAGTTCAGCCTGGTGAAGGAACCTGGGTCATGAAATGTCCCCCCCGAAGGATGTGGAAATGCATAGCATTCAGAGCATGCTCATGACCCAGGGTCCTGAACCCCTTTCTCGCTGGCCACCATTTGGCCCAACCTTCACGTGCCTTACGAGGCGCCTTGAGCCCCCTTTCGTTCATGGCGAGGAAAACGGCCGATCTTCGTGCGGCTCAACAAACTGATTCAGCTACATGACACACCATGACACGTCATGACACTAGACATCTTCGGACGATCCCAGAGATTTCTATAGATTTCTCATGTCGATGTACGGCTCAGGCTCACTGGACACCATCCGACAACTTTGCGTGTCCTCGATGTGACTGTGACAAGTGTGTCACTCACCTCAATCGATAGTGCTGGTCATCATTGGTGAAGCTGAGGAGTCTGCAGCCAGGAAATGTGTTCTGCGATGTTCACGAAGGTTCAACAAAGCCAGGGTATGGGATCGCTAGCACCGGGGCGCATGTGCGACAAAGAGCGGAGGATTTCCAATCCACGAGTCTTCGAGCTTGTACAGGTCTACATCCAGTCCTTCAAAGGGTTTCACAGCCACGATGATAACAATCAGGACCTACAGTTCCAATACACAGTGAATACACAGTGAAACATTATTATGCTAGAATCCTTTGGAAGCCTTCACCTGAGGAGCCCGTCATCACCATTCGCTGCACTTCCTGCAAGCACTTGTGGAAGGAAGATGAGGCCTTTGCACCAGCATGCCGTGAGATGGGAAGTGTTCGGAATTCCTAAAGCCTTCCTTTTTCAAGCGTGCATGTTGGACAAGTGATTAAGTCATTGCCCTTGCAGCAGGCAGACTGCATGTTTGTCGAGCTGCTGCTTGACCATGCTTTCTTCTTTTTAATCACTTGGAGACTTCTACACAATCCAAGTTTCTCACTTGCTTTCGCACTACAAATCTCTTGGCACCTCACCTCTATACCATTTGCCTTGTGATGATCTTTTTGTAGTGATAGTAGTAGCTGTACACTGTACTGCTTTCAGACGCCTTCTCCAAGTTTGGTTGGTATTCCTTCGGGCCAAAGGTAGAGGGTGGCCGCATGGCAGCAGGCAGCTTCGAGGCAAGTTAGGAGAGTTGGGAGGTCAAATATGTATATATAGGCGAGCCAAGCAGCTAACGAAGAGATGAAACACAAGAAGGTAGGGGCCCTTTAGACCTGGCATTCTTCTTCATGGCTCAAACCGACATTTGTGTATATGAAAACTTCCGTAAGGTGAGTTAATTTGCACGAATGCTCCGCCGGCCACTGGCTCCATTTAGCTTCGAGGCGGTTCATGGCCTTGTGCGCCAAGTGTCACCGGGCCGCCCCGTCGACCGGTGACACTTGGTGTCTTGGTTGCAGCGGCTGGGAGGCCCTGGGCTCCGAGTTGAGCTTCACCTGGGGTCATCCAGGCTTGAGGGCCATCGCTACTGACATTGTGGTCAGTGCGGTTCGGCAGGGGCGAGCCTTGAGGGTGACTAAGGTCTTAGGACCTCAACCTCAGGCTGCACGCCCTCAGGGGAGGGCCCCAGCCGCTGAGCCACCCTCTCTTTTGGCTGGGGGAAACCGAGAGCCTGGAGGAGAGAGAGCTCCGCTTCCTCGGTCGCCCCGAGCAGAGGCGGCCCCAGCAGAGGAGGACAAGAAGAACAAGGAGGCGGCCGACGAGAGCTCCTACGAGCAAGAGGACGAGGAGTCCGAGGCGGTCTCCGACGCCACCGTCGTGAAGCACCCAAGTCAGGTGATCACTAAGCAGGGGCTGTCCGCTAAGGCCGCGCCTCCGGCTAGGAGATCGGCTGATCGCCACGAGGAGGTTAAAGCAGAGGAGGAGGCTGCTGAGGAACCTTTGGCTGCTAAGGGCACCGAGCTGGAGGCCGTGGAGGGTGCTTCAAGCGCCCGTGGTTCGAGGGACGTTGATAGGGACCGCCATCGACATCGGCGTGAACCTGGACACCATCGAGGATCGAAGAGAAAGAGAAAGAGGGATCGCACACATCGTGCAGGCAGGAAACACAAGCGGCTACATCGGGCTGAGGCGAACCCGTATTTGCTGAGGCGAACCCCTTTTTCTCCTAAACGGCTTGCCAATATAGCCGTGCCCTTTTGAGGCAAGGCCCGCAGTTGGCCAATAGGAGAAATAAAAGGTACAGAAACGGCTTGCCAACATAGCCGTGCCCTTTTGAGGCAAAGCCCGTCGTGGCAAGGCCCGCAGGTGGCCAATACAGAGCCTTGAAGGCTATAAATGTTCAAGGTATGTTGACCTAGCACGTCAACATTCAAAACCTTCAGATGGCTGGCCGGAAAAGAGGAGCTGATTGAGTGCAATATATACGTGTTTGTTCGTTGAGTGCAAGCTGAGCACTTCAACTCGATTCAGTCATTAGCGGGCAGTTGTAGTTTTGAACGAGTGCATTACTATCATTTACTTTGCAAAGAGCTTGTTGATACCCATGGCAAATTCTCTATTTTATGGGCAGGGTTAACCCCTTGTATAAAACATGGACATGTCAGGTGGGGTCGACCACCTTCATTTCATAGGGACTTCAGCTTTGTAATTACGACCACCGTCCAATGGCCACGTTGGAGACTGCTGTCCAGTGGTGAACAGTCGAAAGGATGGCGTGGTGCAGGCGGATCCCAAGCCCGAAAGGCGAGGGGATGGGTGTCAGCACAATGCTGCGTGACTGCTGTGTTTTTTGAGATTTTTTGAAGAACATTTTGTGATGCCCACTATTTAGAGCATCCTAAGTGTTAGTCAACCTAGTCAGGTACAACATGCAAGTCAGATGCATGATCCAAGCCAGTGTGTTTGTGACAGGAGTGAAGCTCCATCCATATGGGGTGACGAGACGCCAGCTGAGCCCTGGCTGCTTCCTGCATCATCGTAGCGCAAATGGAATGCTCCCTCTTCCTTTTTTTATGGGATCAGTCCCCAAGGAATGATCAGAAGAAATACCCCCCTGTGGTGCAAACCTCTGGACATGTAGAGACGAGCAAAGAGCAAGCGTGCCATTATCAGGTTTTGGGCTGGCACTGCTTGGCGTTTGAAAAGCCATTGTCCTTGGGTCCTTCCTGGAATGGTTTGCGAATGAGGGAGCAGCCTCCGATCCATAGACTGAGACTTCGACAGATGGAAAACGGAAGACATGCTGAAGGCCCTGGAAGCCTGGAAGGGTTTTGTTTGTTGGCTTGGAAAGCCAGGAGGCAGACATGAATCTCAGATCGACAGATTGGTCAATCTCTGGGGATGTTATGCAAGGGAGTTGAGGCAGTTCATGGTTTGTCGAGGCATGTTGAGGCAATTATTGCACAGCTAGCACGATAGGGCTGGACTCGCTGGATTGTACCAGCACGAATTGCACGGGGCTGCAGGACCGCATTGGTTGGAATCCAAATCAGACATCCACAAAATCAGTAGCTGGCTCAGCTTGCAAACATGGCCAACCACATAGAGCATCAATAGTCAATAGGTGCCTGCCGTTGGGGTTTCATGCGAGTGCACTTTTGGACCTTGTATGTTTGCGCGTTTCAACTGCTTCGATCTTTTTACCAAACTTTTGTCTCCACAAGACTGCTTTGAGGCCTCTGCCACTGCTGGAAAGCCAGCAGAGTGCTGTCCTTGGTTAGAGAGAGGCAGAGGCAAGGAGAGTGCAGCTAAATTTGTTGAGCCTTCAGGTCATCTAGCGTTCGAGTGGCTTTTTCTCAGTTTTGGAGCTCATTTGGGATTTCCGTCTAAGGCCAAATCGTACTCTCTTTGTGGAGAACCTTCCTCCCGAGGCGATGACCACTGAAGCACTTAAACTGGGCAGGATCTGCAGGGACATGGGCCGCCAGTATGCGAGATGCAGTCCAGAGTCCACCATGTCAGTTTATTGGGCTTGGACTTTGTCTCGATGTGTTTAAACATGTGCAGATATATTAAGAGCTCCATTCTGAGCTCCAAAGGAGGGTCACTGCGACCAAATATACAAACATGTGACAGCCGCCCATGCGAATACGTTGACTTCTCGCAGTTTGCTTTTTACATGTCATGACTTGTATGTTCAGCAGGTCAAGCAAGGTATAGAATAGCAGAGCAGGTTTGCTGTATGTAATTAACAACCTGACTTGGAAAGCGCCTCAACACTTGATCTTTGGATTTGCCAGTAGCAGCCCTGTGACTTGGAATTGAGCGCTTCCTGAAAGCGGACCAGACTGCCTTCACTACCTTGAATGAAGTGCGGCAGGCGACGGACACCATGCTGTCGATGCTCTTCCGACAGTACCCTGGTTTCCAAGAGGCCATAGCTCGCACTTCCAATGGGAAGCAGCGAGACAGTTTGTACAAGGACCCAGACTGGAAAGCTGGTTTAGGAAGAATGCAGCTTAGTGTATTTAGAAGAGTTTTAAATGTGTTTAGAGCACAGGGCTCCACCTCTTTTGTCTCCAGGTGCGGCTTATTCCTGGACGAAATGTGGCCTTTGCGGACTACCAGAATGAGTGCCCAATCGATTTGTTTTGAATCCATGTGAGTCATTTCCGTTTGAGCCAATGGGCAGTTGAGGGTAGTTGCTTGCACTGCCAGATCTCATTCAAGGAAAATCAGAGTCCTCCAGGTGTGTTATTAATGTGTTTGCGGCATTCGGTAGATTCCCTGCCTAAGTTGCAGAACACCGGGAAGGAACGCAGTGACTGCATGAGAGGGGAATTGAATAGAGCTTGTGAGAGCAATGTACTGTACTGTACTTGTTTCCTAAAGGTGGCGGACGCTTGTGAGCATACAGAGAATATTGTGAGCATACACCGATCCTTGCATTGTGCAGGTGAACCGCAATGCAGAGAAGCAGTTGTGTGTGTGTGTGTGTGTCTAGACGATGTGCATTTCCAAGCAGAATTCGCACTTTCTTCCAAACCAGACTTGAAATGAGACACCTTGTTGCTGACATCCTTGGATCTCGTCGCACAAGTCGCTGGTTAGAATGGTAGATCCAAATTTGAAACGGTCGAAATCGACAAAGGCGCAAACCAGCGACCTTTGACTCTCGATACTGTATTATGCTCCCTCATTGGTAAGATTTCGGTAGCTTATCGAAATACTGTAGGATTCCGTCCGACAGACACACAACCGAAGTAGCAGCACAAAGCGGATCCAGCAACCTCCTTGCTTGATGTTTCTTTCTTGTCAAGTGAATAATTCGCATGCATTCCATTCCCAGTATCCTTGTATTTATTTCCAGTTGTGCAAAAGTGTACGACATGAACATTGACACACATGAACTATATACATATAAAAAAGCTCTTTATAGCGTTTTGAGACACTCATAACCTCCTAAGTCATTCTGCAACTTGGTTGGGAGCCTACACCCTTGCAAGGTACCAAGCTGGCATGGCCATGCAAGGCCTTCAGAGCTTCGAGATGACTCCGGATGTGAGGCTGGGCCAGCTGGGCTCCTCGACTTGGCGACACACAGCCACAACAAAAGCACCACACTGCACAAGTTAGCTGTGATGCACCAGAGACAGGCTTCCTACATCGGACTATGTATATACATATATTATGCAGAAACCTGGAGTCTGAAATCGAATGGTGCCACTGATATTGCCCTGCATTTATAGCATTTTATAGCCAGGTTGCAGCTCTCCTACGCAAGGAAGTGAAGCCTGTGGCAGGATGGGTGAGGACCGGGTCGGCCAGATGACGAGAGGTTTGGCTTTCAGAATCATCCTCGAGTTGAACCTATGTAAGTTACATAAACACATGCATATCATCGAATATCTATGAATTCAGGTTTTGACAAGTTCAACTTGATGGAATTGATTGCAATCTGATCTGGGCGAGGCATTGCCCGAGAAAGGCCGGAGACTGAGACCGTATGCGGCGTAGACGGCCAGGATGTGCTCGATATGACCTCGACATGACGGCCTGGTCTTTGGATCGCCCGGCTCCCATGGAACATGGCACCGTGCATGTCGCAGAGTGGTCGAAAAGGCGGCGCACTTGGGAATCAAGTTTCAGTGAAGTTTGTGGACAAGATGCAAATCAGCCATCAGCCATGTCTCTGACTGTAGCCTGAACTTGAAACGCATGAAAAGCTGGAGTGAGTGGAACAACGGAATTGGTTTGGAAGTTGTTGTCCAGTGACGTGTTTGGGTTTGAAGTGGTTTGGTTTGTTTCTTTGGTATCATTTTTGCGTGGATTCTATAAGTATGATACTTAATTTTGTTATCAGTCAAGTTATGTTCTCAGTCAAGTGACTGAAAAGAATGCCTGAACATTGCCATGCAAAGCTGCAACTTGGGCTCGAGCTGCAACACTCCAACACTCAAAGACCACGGAATATGTCGGACTCGCCAGCCTCTGCTGACGTGGTTGAGAAGGTGGAGCAGGACACGGCGGTTCCGGACGAGACCTCAGTGGAAAGCGAGGATGTGTCGGAAAAGGATGACGAGAAGTCCGAGTCGAAAGAGAGTGCGCAGCTTGCTGTTTTTTAATGGCTTTTGGCCATGCCAAATTTGGATAAATTTGGACCTCTTTCAATTTCTTTTGATTTGAATCAATCGGACCTGGAGAGAAGGGGGACTGCTTTTAAGCAATCGAGGAAGCAAAGCCGCTCTCCATCTGCTGCATCATTAGGCAAATGCAGTCGCAGTCGTTCCCCTTTGGCTGTGCCAAAGAACAAGAAACGGGAGATCATTTGCTGGCACGGACGGGCTTGCTCACGAGTAGACTGTTGGTTCAAGCACCCAGATGGCCGGGAGATTGATGACAATCCCATGCTGCGAAAGAGGGATGGGAAGGGCAAGTCCAGCATCTCGTCACAACCATTGGCAAACAGCGATGTCTTTTCCTTTAGCAGACTTTAGCAGGACGCTTTGAAAGCGCAGTATGACAGTATATAACTGTATAAGTTTCACAGAACCCTAGCACTTTTGGAACTTCATCCTCAGGTGGCAAGGGCCAACCCCAAGGAGGGCCACCTTGCAGCTTCCGCCGGCGCCCCCGCTCTCCCTCGCGCCGCTCGCGACGCTCGCGCCGTGGCCGCCGTCATCATCGTCGTTCGCGGCGCTCCTCCTCGAGCCGCGCGCAGCGCTGGCAGAGCCCTCTGAGGCGCCGGCGGCGAAGCCGCTCCCGCTCAGCGCGCTCTGCCTCCAAGACAGAGGGACCCCGCAGACGCGAGACACCCGAGGTAGAGAGCAAGGACGCGAAGACTACAGATGCGAAGAGTCTTAAAGAGAATGTGAAGGCTGTGAAGGACTGGGACTTTGGAACCCTTTTGAGCAGCTTGGGCTATATGGTATATACAGAGTCGCTGAAACTTGCCGTGAATCAAATGCGGGATTGAAATTAGATTGACGGATTCGCAGGATTCATTGTTTTGTGATTCATGTTCTTATTCTTATGACAGTCTTGCTCCATGCCCTCCACGCGCAGGACCCGGCGACCGAGATTGGAGCTCCTCCCCACAGAATGGACTTTCGCGAGTTCATGTTGAGACAATGTGACGCGGGAGCTTGTCCGGAGACTTGCGTGGCAGCCTTCAAAACCTATTGCCAGGAGTTCGCCCAGAGGCAGTTTGCTGTTGCGTCATGTTGTGCCACTGCAAAGTTTGCGGAGTTGTTGCACTGAACAGGGACGACGCTTTTAACCTTTTGTTCTTTTGCCAGCTTGCCATTTAGTATGGTCTTCCCCCTGCAACCTGGACTCGGCAACCAGGGAGTTCGACCGACTGAAGAACACTGGCTTGTGCTTGGACCTTTACCATCCTGTGAGCCAGCTGCGATCCTACGAGTGGCGGCAAAGTATGGCACAGCAGAGAGCGCAGAGTATCCGGGTTGCAAGGTACTTGAGATTAACAGCAACATAGCACATTGTTGAGTTTGGACAATGTACAAACATCTTACTGTACAGCTTTGAACCAAGGCTTCTTGGCAGAGTTGAGGGAGGGCAAGTACAAGGACCTGTCCTTGCGATTGGCGCAGCCCAATGGCGAGGCCACTTGCCCTGTGGCAGGGCATCAACAGGCCCCAGAGTTTGCCTTTGATGCCAACATTGGGACCTTGATGATCAGCGGCCTACCATGTGCTGTGAGCGTTTGGGAAGCTTGGGTTAGAAAAGCTGGGAGGCTGAAGCTTTGACCGGGGCTCTGAGAGGAGTTTAGACCACAAGGAAGCCCAGAGTAAAGGTCTGTAGTCAGATTGAGGCTTGCGATTGAGGCTTCCTTGCCACGGGCAAATAGCAGTGACCGATCGTTAACCTGACTGCAACACACAGGAGGCTGGTCCGGAATTGAGTTTTTTTGGAAGCTCCTCAGGCAGGGTCTCTCAAGCTGGCTTTCAGGAAGTGGTGGAGGCTCTTCAAGACTCTGGTGGCTTTGCAGAGGCTGCTTGGAGTGCACCATCTGCAGACCTGAGCCGAACGTTCTACGTCGGCTTCTCATGTCCGCAGGAAGGGGGGGCAAGCTAAGTGAGCAAGATTGAAACCTTTGATTGGATCTTCTTGTATCATTATCATTTGAGATTCCCTGCCAGGAAGCGAAGGAAGCCTTGTTGGTCATAGCAAATAAAGCGGATACGCTCTTGAGCAACAAGGGCCTGACCAATGGTGTGGCCAAAGTTTCAATACAGGATCCGATGGAGCTTTCAGCCCTGGTCTTGCCGGCTGAGATGTCGTCGCCTGAGCGCTTGGCGAAAGATCTCTCACTGTCTGCCGAGGTGGGCCATGGTTTATTTGGGAGATCAAGGTGCAGTCAAAACGAACTGGTCATGAGCCACGAGAACTTCATGGATTCCAAAACATGATGGGTAGGGTAGTCAGGGAACGGAACTGTTCCAGTCTTGTGTTTGCTCCCAAAACTGCTCTGACTACGTATGGTGGCCCAGGTGATCCAGCTTTTGGATAAAGTACACGAGATCCGCCAGGACTTCACTGCAGAACTTCTCCATTTCCAGGGATCTGCTGAACAGACACTCCTCAAGACAGTGTGACCTTTTTGTTGGACACGTGTTATGTTGGTGACACTACATGAGAATGTCATCCAGAGAAGGGAGGTAAGGTGGGAGATGTCATTACTTTCCCTTAACTACTGAACTGGATGCCTAGATTCATGGACTTTGACCCTGAGTTGGAGCGATTCGTTCTTTCTGTTCTTTTCAGGGTTCTCTTCGATCTTGCTTGCAGCTGTTGAGGAAGTTGGATCTTCAGGTGATTTACCTCCGTCGCGTGCACAATTTTTGCTTCTATGCTGGCAAGTGGGGCGAAAACCAGTGGACGTTGCGGGACAGCTGTGGTGCTGCAGTTGTCCGCGAGCCTTACTACGAACCAGTGCAAGAGATTTGGGCAAAGGGCCATGAGAAACGCATCAAGGAACTCGCCTTAGCTGTGCGAGAGTAAGGGGTGAGTGTCATTGAGAGTCCAAGACAAAGCAGAAGAGAGAAGAGGTTGACCTTCCCTCTATTTAGTAGAATCCGATTGATTTGTGGAACTGCAGGAGTTCCTGAGCACCACATCTTTGATTCGACCGGCAGTACTGGGTCATGCCGATCCAAAAGTTCGAGTACGCTTTGATCAAGTATGTCGTGAGAAAACCGTTGCTGTGACAGAGCAAAAGTTCCAGTGCAAGGATCATACCTTGAAACAGCGATGCCTGCGGTGCTAATTTTACAAGTAGGTGACCAGTAGGCGTGTTTGAAGCATCCACCAGTGTTCCAAAATGCTTCAGATGTTGACAAGATGTCAGGACTGTGGGAAATTCTTCAAAGGGCCGGAGTACGTTGGTAAGCACCTCTTCCGGATGCACACTGAGATCATGCAAGCGGTGCGTGAAGAGTTGCATCAGATGATGGCGCGGGAGGCCTTTGTTGCAGATCCAAGTCATCCGCTGTCGTGCACATTGAACAAGGATTGAGGGCCCGGCAGCAAGTCCAGCATGGACTGGCTCAGTAGGCTTGGATGTTTGCAAGGAATTCGATAGTTACAACTTCAAGTGCAAGCAATTCAGCTGGTTGGCCCACATGGCGCTCCCTTAACCAGTTCATTGGTTGGACAGTCAGTTTGTAAGGTTCCGAAAGCCGATCACCTTGACCTTGACCTTTTCAATCAAGACTACTCATACTAGCCTGTCAACTTGAGCTTGGCCATGTGGCAGCAGTTCGAATCTAGGTAGCTCATGGTAGCTCATTCACATTCCCCCCACAGCTTTGGGGTCGGCCATGGCAGTCTGAGGAGTGCCGGGTGGGATGAAAAGGCTTCCTGAGCATCGGTGGCCATGGAAAATGCGAAATCTACACTGTACAAAGTCTTTCCATGGACTTCTTGGCACGCAGCTGTTGGCTCAAGGGATCTTGACTCATTGGGCATAGGTAGTTTACAGTAGTTTGTAGTTAGGGCCGTGTCAGGGACCGGTCCCATCCTCGGCTGATTGAGGTGACAATGAACAACTTGCAGCAAAAGCAGCACGTCAAGATCCAACAGCACGCTGCCAGCCTCATCTCAATCTATACAAAGGACATGTTGAAAGAGGGTTTGGTCTTGACTGCTTTTAAACAAAGAGAGTATACAATGGTTCAAGTGAATGACGGGCAGAAAGAAGGCTCAAAAACAAATTCTGGACTATGATCCTCTGAAACCGCTTGAAATCTTGCAAGACATTGTCCAGCATGTTTTGATCCGCAGAGCATGTCCAGCCATTTCAAGGTGCATGAAGAATGTCAAGCTTTGATGGCCTGTCCAGAGAAGAGCTGATGCAGAAGGCCGGCGGTGGATTTGCAGATTGACTGTGTTGGTGCAAAGCCCCAGATTTGTCTGTCCTCATGGGCTCCTTGAGTGTCGATGGAGGTTGTAGAGCTCCAACAAGGCCTCGCGGAACTCTCGGAAAAGGCGCGGCAATATTTTTAAATGCTACTCGTAGTGTTCAATCTTTAGGAACGGCAGGTTGCCTGATCGAAAGCGCGTGTTTGGAAGCAATACCTAAGCTTCTTGCAGATCGAGCCAGGTGGACACCGTGAAAGGTGAGAACACGCAATTGAGAGAGGACTGATGCTGACAAGTGTTGTGTTGACCATGAGAGCCACAAGCACCACTGCATACCAAGACCCGCGCCGATGATACAGTGGTATCTCCAGGAAACCACATGCAGGGGTTGTGGGGGAAGTGTTTGGTACTTTGCAGCAACCAATTACCAACCCCACATATACAAAGTGAATGCACAAATACAACAAACATTTCTGGCCTCAACAAGTAGATGACAGTGATATACTAAACCATGGACCAGCTGTTGTGCTCGTTTGCATCTCGAGCAGAGGAAAACAATGTCCTGAAGGACTACCTGAACAATTTAATGGCGAAGGCAGGATCAGAAGAAGTTGAAGCCTTTGGACAAGAGTGCTCTCATCCCCCACCTTTCTAATGACTAGTGGCCTGCAGGAAGCAGAAGTGCACACATACATATAGCATGACATATCATCAACTGTATTACATATGCACTCAGAACTCATGTGCAGCGAAGATGCGTCTCCACGTTTTCACTTCCTTTTTCATCACGACTCTATAGCTTTCATTATCGTTTCTCACCTCTGCATCTTCCTGCCTTTTTCATCTCTTGAACCTACCTGTGTTTTTTCACTGCTCAAATCTAGTTGATGGCCCTCCCCAACCGTTCACACCTGTACTTTTAATTCCTTTTTTAGGATCTATTTCCTTCCCATACCCCTCCCTTCTAGAACGCACCCCAAGTAGGCCGCATCATCCCGCATCTCTAGGTTGGCAAGATGCCCAACCTGGGAACCACAGCGCCTTCGAAAGTCATGCTGCAGCAAAACCCTGATGGGGCCCAATCAGCTGAAGCCCCAGCTCGAATTTTGCATTTAAAGAGAATCTCAGGTTGTGCCGTCGTACCTTACAACATTCAAGCAGCATGTTGCAGTGGCTGCGTTTTCAACATTTTCCAGTACGCTCTAGAGTTTTTGCTTGAGGTCAAGGTGAACGACCACATTGGAGAGCTCACAGCTCCTGCTGTAGATGACTGATGTTGGAGGTCCCAGCTGCAGTTGCCTCTCTGGCATCACTGTTTCTTACGTGGTACTTCAGGAGTTCTAAAGAACATATATAACAAGCAGCCCTTTCAATGCTTAGTTTGTCAGAGCAAGCAGTGCTTCGAACATGTAGTGCCCTCCAGCTTCCTATCTTGTCCCTTGCCTCCTGATTCATTTGGATTCACGAGGCAAGCAGACTCATCCAGGAGGTGCTTCCTTCCAAACGCACACGTACTGTGTAATCTCATGAGAGATAATAAGGTCTGATCTTACCAGCGCAATGTCAATGTCCATTCTGAGGCGTGGACGAAAAGGTGCCATTGTCCAATTCACCAACATTGGTGGCACGCTCCACTCGTGAGTCTTGAAAAAGGAGTTTGTTTCCTCAGCTGTGGGGTCCCATTGCCATCCATCCGAGCAGCCTAGAAACATTTTCGTCAGATCGTTAACTAGGCAAAACTGGTTGGCAGCCAGCTTACAAAATCAGTGCTATGTTCATGGATTGGATGGCTGTCCGAGGACTTGCATTGCAGGTACAATTGACAATGTACCACACACAGTTTTTCAAGATGCGGTCGTAACATATATACATATGGATCTAAAGCCTGGAGCTTAGCTTCCGTTTGTCTCTTCTGCATGCTTTCAGGTACCGTGTTTACGGTCCTGCAGCAACAAAAGTCGAACATGTCCTTGTCGCCTCATGCAAAACACTATTGCACAGGTGAATGTCATAGCCATTTGGCTCAATCAGATATCGTACCGACCCAACTCTTGGAGTTCATGACTTAAGCCTCCTAGCTGCAAGAGGCGGGCAGTGAGCCTCAATCCTGGGCCGTGACTATCCCAATTGGGAACAATAGTTGTGGAACCTTCAAACTCAGGTCACGCGCCTCAAAGACGCCGCTTGCTCAGATGGCATGTAGGAGAGACTCAGAATGGTGGTTGCCAATTTACAAAACTTGTTTGTTACTCGCAGACATACTATGTTCTGGCCCGGATTCCACCTGGGATTTTATTATCTGCACACTATGGATCACTCACAGTCACCCCCCAGCCAATTGAGACGATGTTCTGGGCAGAACATGTTCCTACAAGCTTCTAATTAAGCAGATAATGTCAAGATTTGACAAGGCGTACAGTGACTTGCAGTACTCCAATAGAACAGATCAATGGTCAGGCCCACAGTTCACTTACAGTAACAAGGTGATGAGCTTCAAGATATCCCAGCACGGGCTGCAGGCAGGATACAGCGCTGGTGAAGAGTATGATTGCACCAAACAAGAGCGTGGAAATTGTATCCATTAGGCCGCTGTTGGAGAGGTTGGACTATGGCCATGGTAATGGTAGGAACTTCAGCATTAATGACAAATTCCTGGAGCGGGGTAGCAATAAACATAAAGAAGCATAAAGGTTGGAGGGGGTGCGATGAGCACAGCACCGTGCACCATGAAAGCCAAGTTGCAGCAGGCGCGCCCACTCACACACACACATGTCACACACACACACAACATAGAACATTAAGATAGAACACCTCACATACATTTGCGTGTGTGAAGCACTGGAAGCAACGCAGCGTTTGTGCTACGCAGAGAAGGGTGCTGCCACTTGCTAGCAGTTTGCAAAACCAGTTAGTGACCAGCCAGGGCCTCCTGCCGCACCCAATT